TCCGCCATGAATTTCTCCCTGTCTCTGAAGAGCTGTTACCTCCTCCAGCCATCAGCCACTCCCTCTCCCCTGTTCTCGGAGCATTCAGTCTGTGGCACCGGAACAAATGGAATAAAACAGGTCGGGTTGTGGCGCAGGGTTCTGTTTAACGTCTCTGGCACCGCCCAGCCATGGTCACTTTTCAGTAAATATTTGTCGAAGGTATGAATAAATGAATTTCAATGTCACCAGCAGTTTGGTCTACATCTTTTTTGTACTTTAGAGCATATGGAAATGAGAACAGGGTGAGTAATTTGAGCAAATTCGATTTTCTAGATTAAGAGCTGAAATATAGGCCTCTTTTTTCTTCTGTCATTAGCACTATTCTGGGTCCGTCCAGCAGTTCTAGGTACGCCAACTGTGTGATATTTCAAAACAAAAGTTTACCACATTATAAAAACAGACACCTAAATGCAAAAGGTGACATATACACAGTTTGTACATTTCTTCTCGTAATCGCAGGCTTCCATGATGGGTGAAATCAGGAAAGAAAGCCATTTAAAGCAAATGAACGCGCACTCATCCATGTGCTTGTTCCAAAATGACCTGGTGACTGTCTCCTGCCACGTCCTTTAGGAAGTCATGGATACACAGGGACTTTGGGACAGGTGTTGGGGGAGGCAGCTCTACTGAGATTTCACTCACAGACTGTAAAATTCACCAGTTAAAGTGTGAGATTCAGCGACTTTCAGTCTATTCGCAGTGTTGTGCAACCATCACCACTATCAATTGTAGAAGATTCCATCACCCCAAGAAGAAGTCCTCATCCCTTTAGCAGAAACTCCCATTTCTCCCCAAACAGCGCCACCCCCGCCAACCAGACAGTCAGAGTGTGCACCTGGCATAGTAGCCACCGTGTCTGAGCCACATACTGGGCCTAGGCAAGAGCCAAAAACTGTTGGAACGTATCGTGTTCCAGGTACTTTTCTAAACACTTCTCGTACGTTAATTCATTTAATTCCCACAACAAATTCATGAGGCAGGTGCTCTCATCTCCTATTTTACAGAGAATAAACTTACCTCCCATTCTCCACCTCCCATAACGTGGCTTCTGCTAAAGACTTAAAGAAGAAAATACAAGAATTAGTCAAAGAAAAAAAGAGTGGGGGGTGAGGGCCAGAGAGAGAGCGCGAGAGAGAAAGAGAGCGAGCGCAAGAGCGCAGTGTAAAATCCAGTGGGTTAGGGGCGGGTGTGGAGTGGAGGGGGTCAATGAGGGAAAAAAGGGAGCACCAGTAACACTTTCAACAATAAAGATAAATTTTTCAAAATCCGGTAGGTACTCCTTTGATACCATTTTCCTTCAGTGTGAAGTTTCCTTTAGCATTTCTTGTAGAAGAGTCTGCTTGTGACAAACTCTCTTAGTTTTCTTTCAGTTGTTTCTTAAAATCTCTTTATCTTGTCTTCATTCCTGAAAGATGTTTTTACTGGATATAGAATTCTGTGTTGGCAGTGTTTTTGTATTTTGTTTTTAATTTGAAGAATTTAAAGGTGTTGTACTTCTACTCTGGTTCCTTTGTTTCTGACGAGACATTAACCATCAATCACATTATTTTAAGCCTGTGTGTAGGGGGTCCTCTTTTTCTGTTGCTTTTACAACTTGCTCCTTATCTTTGGTTTTTGATAATTTGACTATGATGTGCCTTGACATGGTCTTATTCATGTTTATCTTGCTTGGTGTTTGTTGAGCATCTTGAATATGTAAGTTTATTTCATTAGAAATTTCTAAATTCTAGGCATTATTTCTTCAAATAATTTTTCAGCCTCATTTTCTCTTCTTTTTTTTGTTACTAAAATTACATGTATGTTAGACAATTTGATATCACCTACTAGGTCCCTGAGGTCTGTTCATATTTTTCATCTTCTTCCTTTCTACTCTTCATTAATATGTTCTCTCTTATCTCCATTTTGTTAATTACCCAATAAATTTTCATTCCAGGTAATGTAGTTCTCTTTCTGAAGATTCCATTTGGTTCTTCTCTGTGATTTCCATTGTTCTGCTTGTCTGTCCTGTCCTTCCATTCGTCACACGAATACGTAGTTTTACTTCACTGAGGATAGTCATACTGGCCACTACTTCCAGACTCAGAGGTACCTCGGGGTTTGTCTCAGTTGATTTTCTTTTCTCCTGAAAATGTGCTTTATTTTTGTGGTTCTTTCAAATATTGGGTGATTTTGTGATTGTATCCTGAACATTATGAATGTGATTTTTGGAAAGTCTGGATTCTGTCTCTTTTTTTTTTTTCTGATGACAGTTGTTTCTTTTGTTTTATGAGACAATTATTTTAGTTGGATTTGAACTGAAAAATCTGTTCTTTGGAAGGAGATCTGAATCAGTCCAGACTTTTTAAAAATAAACTTCTATTTAGAGTAGTGTTAGCTTTAGAGAAAAATTGCAAAGATAGTACAGGGAGTTCTCACTGTACTCCATACCCAGGTTCCTTATTTTGACATATTATTATACTAGATTTTTATAATTAATACCAGTGTTGACAATTTTTATTAACTAAAATCCAAACTTTTCTCAGATTTCCTCTGTTTTTGCAAAATGTCCTCTCTCTCTTCTGGGATCCCATCCAGAAGACCATATTGCGTTTAGTCATGACCTTAGGTCTCCTCCGGCCACCCTGGGTGGCGCGGCGTTTCAGACTCACCTTGTGCGCTGGAGGGGCTGGTCAGGAATTCTCAGACTGTCCCTCATGTGGGCTTCACTTCATGCTTTTCTCAAGATCAGACGGGTTGTGTGTTTCTGAGAGGACGGCCGCGGAGATGAAATGCTCTTCCCACAGCAGCGTATCCAGGGCGCACATCGTCACAACGATGCATCACTGTGGACGCTGACCTGGATCTCCTCACTGAAGTCCTTTCCTCCTGTGATGTTCTTCTCGCTCATCTGCCCACAAGGCGCCCTTGGAGAGGAAGGCTCTGTCCACCCCCTTGCGCGGTGGGGTCACCCCCATCCTCGAGCAGACCTTGTCACCTGCCAGGAGACGCGGCGTGTGTTCTGCACCCCGTGGTTCCGCCGTCAGCCAGACACGGTCGACAGAGGGTGACATTCCCTCTCTGACTCCTGTCCCTCTGAGACGCCCCTCGTGCTTCTCGGAGGCAGTTTTTCTCCGATTCGGCCTTTCGCTTCTCCCAGCTGGAAAGACGGGTTTTGCCGCCGGTGTGCCTGGCCGCATGCCCTGTGTTTTGAAAATGTGCTCCTCCTGGCAGGTCCTCCCCACCAGAACGTCCCTTCTTCTGTTCATGTTCTGGGCCTTTTGTCTGAAGTGCTGGCACCGGCACTGCTTCCTCAGGGAGCTGACCCGGTGGCGGCTGGTCGTCACAGGCGGAGTCCCGCTCTCCGCTTCGCACCGCGATGCTGGGTGTGGGGTCTGGACTCGGCTTCCGACCAGAAAGAACTTAGGGACCGTCAGGAATTAAGATTATGTCAGACATTCGAAAAGGATGATATCTGACAGCAGACAGTCAAGCACTGAGTTATGTGACATAAACAACAGATTCTTAACGTGGTAACAGCTGATAATGACCGGACCCTTGTAACCACCAGGTGAGGTGAGATCGTGCGTGCGGCTCGGCTTAACGTTGGGCCGTGGTTCCTAAACTGCAGTGTGACTCCAGGGGGGGATCCTGTGATGCCCTCCTGGTGGTGGATGGGGCTTGGTGTTCACGGTGCTGGTTCCTAGAGCTGCACCCGGAAACCACACGCTGGTCTGTGCAGCGCTGCGCACGCTGCCGCCGGGAGGGCGAGGCACCTGGACAAGTGCGGACCTGTTGCCTGTGAGCTCGACTCGCAACTCAGACCTGGACACGCCCGATGGTTGCCACAGCCCCAGCTCTGCGCAGACAGGACTGTGCGGGTCCCTCTGGCGCCGCAGCGGGTAGGGACGCTCCCTGTGGCTGCATCAGAGGAGGCTGCGGGGCTGCAGGGCCTGTCACTGGCTGACGAGGGCGCTCGGCCTCCGGGCGGACGGTGAGCGGGTCGGAAGGAGGTCACATTGGAGTTGAATGGGCCTCCGACCCCGGTGACGGAGGGTGTGGCGTGACCCAGGCCAGCGATGGGCCAGGCATCGTCTGTGTGTGTTGTCTGGACACATGTAGCTCCGCAGAGCACATGTGGGGCCTGGCGGAGGCAGTGCTGGGTACAGGTGTGTGCGGAGGGAGGGGGCTGGAGTCTTCTCCCCCGGGAGCAGCATGAGCCTTTAAGAACGGGGGGCTGTGGGAGGGCCTCCTTAGCAGAATGGTGTGAGGCGTCAGGGGGAGGCCACTGCCAACATCTGGAAGGTTCCGCGAGAGCCGTGACAGGACAGATGGCGTGAGGCCGGGGGAGGAGGCGTGCAGAGGGCCCCAGGGCAGGGGGAGAAGTTCCAGTGGGGGGAGCGGGTCGCTGGTTTGGGAAGAAGAGGCAGACTCGGACCTCAGCGAGGAGAGCGAGCCTGGGGCTGGGCCCAGCGGCCGCATTTCCTCCGTCGCTGCCCAGCAGGCCCCCCACGAGCTCCGCTATGTGATGAGGTCGCCCAGACGGCAGAGGAGCCTCATGCTGTCGATGTCGAACCTGCGGTGAAGTTGGTTTTGTCGAACCTCGTTTAGCGGAAAGTCTCAGAACCCGCCCGCGCCCGGGGCTCCCTGAGTGCTCGGGTTGAGTGTGTGGACAGGCGCCCTGGAGGGAGGGGTGACCTGGCAGCTGCCGGGCCGTCGCTGATCACCCCACGGGGCTCGCACAGCTCCAGCCACAGGCGCTCTGCCTCGGCCCTGTCCCAGGACGATGTCGGGGAGCAGCAGTTTCGTTTGTGTCACTGACACAACATGTGTCTCCCACTGTCACCCCACAGCCCGCAGCTGTGAGTGAGGGAACAGGCTGCCACTCCTGGCAGGCGGGGCGGGCACCTGGTTGTAAACGGGCTGTCCCTGTGCCAGGACCAGAGGGATCTCACTCTCTCTCTCCCCACTTTCTCGGCCAGTGTTCGTGAGGTTCAACTCCAGCCACGGTTTCCCAGTGGAGGTGGATTCTGCCACCAGCATCTTCCAGCTCAAGGAGGAGGTTGCTAAGCGACAGGGGGTTCCAGCCGACCAGCTGCGCGTGATTTTCGCGGGGAAGGAGCTCAGGAATGACCTGGTGGTTCAGGTGAGTGGCCGGGGGGCTGGGCCGGGACGCACCCCGTGGCTGACATCCAGGGCCCGGATCTGATAGAATAGACGGCGCCTGGGGACTCCCTGAACTGGACTCCGCCACTTCATTAACTCTGACCTTAATTATGCAGCGAAGCAGCAAGAGGAAGGGCTGAGTGTGTGGGGCGGGGGGCGGTAGTAGTGGGGGGACAGACCGTGAATAAATGTAGGCTGAGCGGGAGCAGCAGGGCACGGTTTCCGTGTCTAATCCCTCCCTCACTTACTCCACGAGAATCCCAAGGAGGAAGGACGCGAATAAACGCTCAGATCCACGGCTCAGGGCTGCGCGGGAGGGATTTATAACCCAGTGTGGCCCCCGGAGGGCAGCGGTGCCCTGCGCCTGCCTGTGGGACTGACCCCGGGAGGGCGTCCCAGGGCCACTCACAGCGCGTGGGGGTACCCCTCTCCAGCCCCCCAACTCGGGGAGCAGGCCCCTGACACGCTGGAGAGGGCTCCCCTGTCTTCTCTGGGGGCTGCACTGCTCCCGCCACAGGGGAGCCCCGATCCTCTGCACCCGGGGTCACTGGGACAGTGATTTCTGTGGGAATGAGGTGATGACTGGTTAGGGGACTAGTGAGCCTGCAGTCCCTGTCCCTCTGATAAGGTTCAGTTGGACTGAGGTGGCTCTCTGTGGGGGGTCAGGCTGCTGAGGCCCCCAGACACCCCCTTTCTAACCCGCTCACAGAGGAGCTCACAGTGGGCTGTGGGGGCTGCTGTCACAGAGGCTGGCTGGCACCCCACGTCCCTCCGTTATAGACACCCCATCACTGTCGCCTGGGGATGATGTCAGCTGCTCTGCGGGTGCTTTCAGAGTGGGAACCCCAAAGGAGGCCATAGGCATGCAGCTCGCCCCACTCCCAGGCCCCCTGCTGCGGGCAGGCTGTTCCTGGTGCACAGCCTCTGTGCGGAGCTTGTAGGCATTGCTTTCCCTAAGAGCAAGGGGTGGCTGCGCTCAAGTGTTTGGGTATTTTTTGTCTCCATCAACTAGAAAGCTTTTCCTTTCCCCGCCGACCTCTAAGTCCAAGAGCGTCTCCTTCACCAATAAGTGACTCTCAAAGGGCCCCTCGGACCGGGATGTTTCATGTTCCCCAAAGCTTGGGAGTTTGAGGTCCTGTGGCAAACAAGTCAAACTCAGAGGCTAACACGGGCCAAATAAACAGGTTTACGTTGATGTGGCCGCAAAAAAACATAAGCTTCAATTTTCATAGAAACGTAGGTTTATTTCCATAGAGACATGCTGAATACAAAGGACTGAAATAAATGAGTCATCGTTAACATAAAATAATAGAACATTTTAATAAAAATTAATATCTCTTTTTGAGCATTAACTTACCAGACACTGAATAACTGCACAAATTAATAAGCGTAACACAAATAAACCTATTTTTCTTGTTCTCCAAAAGCGAAATATTTCCTGTTGCACACACCAAACAAGTCAGTCCAATATGGCCATCAGCTGCTAAAATATTCCCTGCTAGTGTTAGTGGAGAGAAATGGTGCGCCTGCGCTTAAGGCACGTAAGGGACATGAATGCAACACGATTATAGTAATCAGTCAGCGAATGTTGTAGTTCGTTATTAATATTTATGTATAACAGGATATTGTAAAAATTAAGTTACAAAATTTTTATTAAAACGTTTCTTACATATCATTATATTGGCTGGGCCGCAATTCACTGTGGCCGCATGCTGCCCGAGGGCCGCGAGTTTGACATGCTTGTCCTATGGCACCTCACCTCCACCTGTGGACCTGATGGGTTAGACCCGTGGTTCTCAACCTTCTGGCCCTTTAATACAGCTCCTCATGTGGTGGCCCAACCATAAAATTATTTTCGTTGCTACTTCATAACTGTAATGTTGCTACTGTTATGAATCGTCATGTAAATATCTGATATGCAGGATGGTCTTAGGCGACCCCTGTGAAAGGGTCGTTCGATCACCAAAGGGGTCGCGGCCCACAGGTTGAGAACCGCTGGGTTAGACCAATGGCTGAAACCATCTGTGTGTCGATGTCTGTGGATTTAGAGTCTGTATTTTGACAAGCACCAGGGCAGGCAGAGTCATCAGACCTCGGAGGGAGCAGGGCTCTAAGGCAAGTACCAGGCGGAGCCACAGGCTGGGCTCACACATCAGTAGGGCTCACCGTCAGCGGCCGCCTTCCCTAACCCAATGGCTGTGCCAGGACCGGTGACTGGCGCCTCTGGAGGAGCAGACACACGTCAGGAAGTTGTCGGGGTGGGAGCCAGGTCTCCGCAGAAGTCACGCGGAAAGAGCCGCCGCTGAGTGGACGCTCGGGAGGTGCTGGAGCCGGAGAAGGAGCGAGTGTGCCCTGGGCGAAGGCGGCCCTGTCCTTCCAGACCCGGAGCAGAGGCTGGGCCTCGGCAGGGAGGGAAAGGGAGCTGCCCCCCAGGTGGTGACGGCTGGGCCCCGAGGGCTCATGTGAGAGAGCTAGAGCGAGGCCGCCGGGAGGGGTGTCAGCCCGGGGCTGTGGCGGTGAGAGGTGAGGCAGCCTGACCTGGCGAGGTGACGTCTGGGGACTGTCCCGCAGGCAGCGGACGGGACAGCCGTGGCTCGGGCCACTTTATTCACCCTCGGTCACATTATTGTGGTCACATTATTGTGGTCTGATGGGCTGATGCGTTTTCTTTGTAGAGTTCCTGGCTCATGCAGCGGGCTCAGGCCACCGACCTGCGTAGAGGGAGAGGCTGTGGCCCTGGCACCATAGCAGCTCCTCATTTGGGAGGTCGGGAGGGGCCAGTAAAGAAGGCGCCCCCCCTTCCCCTCCCCCGGACTCCTCTGAGGGCGTCTTAGAAAAAGAAGTCACTGGTGAAGAGCACTGGGAAGGAGCGGGAGGAGGAAGGGCTCTGGCTTGGTGACCGGAGTGGTGACCTCGTGCCCTGAGGACTCAGTCCTGGACGGAGGTGGGTGGTGGCCGGGCTGCGGGGCTCAGCCTGAGGCGGGACTGGGTCTGAGAGGCAGGGCCGGGCGCCCTGGGCAGCGGGCTCCTGGGTGGAGTCCCTGCCCACCGCACGCTGTCTCTCCTGGACGGCGGCTGTGGGAGGACACGCTTCTGTCGCCTGATGTCCTTAGGACGTGCCATGAGCATTTTCCGTGTGACACAATCTTCACTTCCAAGTGCACGGTGATGCTCCAGAAGTTTATATCATGATATAACTCAGGTATGGGGGCAGCGCCCGTTTTTTCATATCACGAATTAAGGCAAAACAGCTGTTCAGATGTGCCTTACACGCGCGGGGAATGGGCGCTCGGGGCTTCAGTTCGCTCGCTCGTAAAATAGGAATCGTACCAGTTCCTGTCCCATTGGACTGTGAGGACTAAACTGGTTAATTTCTGAAGCTCTTAGAACAGAGGACGGTATATAGTAAACACTAGAGCCGCGATGTTCAACCTTTTCCATCACATAAACGAAGAACTAAAATCCTGTGGCACATCAAAAACATTGCCAATCTGACAAAAAATAGATATAATTTAATTCATTCACATTGGACTGTGATCGTGTTGGCTGTTGTCATGTTTTTATTTGACAATCTAAGGGAAAAGAGGTCAGTGCCCTGACTAAGGAGTAGGTACTGCTTGTTTTAAAACTCCTTGTGGCCACTGGGTGAAAATCATTGCACTGTATACATGTTAGCATGTATTAGTATCCTCATCATCAGTAGGCAGTTACTTCAGGGTCTAAGAGATCACCTTAAATAACACAAGACGATTTCATCGTGGATTCTGCAATGAATTAATGAGTTCAGGCAATGATAGGGTGCGTATTTTACTGGGGAAAATATATAATGTATATTTGTGTGTGTGTGTGTGTGCTGGTGTGTGTATAATATTTATATGTTTTAACTAAAAAGAACTCTGGATTTTATAAATAAGTATTTGACCCTTACGTATACAGGTTCTACTTACCTTAAGAACAGTGGAAATGGCAAGCTTACAAAGACTACAGTTCCTCTGAACAAACTTAGGAAAAACAGAACCTCTAGTTGCATTGCTCAGCAGAGTCATCGTGGTCTGACCGCTTTGAAAACATATTTTTATAACATGGAGATCTGCTCTGTTCTGCATTTATGAGAAGCAGGTCAGAAAGAGTTAAACACTTTTTCCTACTTTGTAAGCAATGCTTCTCTGTGTGTTTGTATTATTTTTCTCACACCTACAGGTATGCAATATAAAATATTAATATGACATATTGCTCACAATGGCTTGATCTTTTTTCTTTGTAAAGTGTTCTTGTTAACCAGGGCCCGTTCAAATAACTCCTTCTCCAGTCCCCCAGATCTGACTCACAGCATACCAAAAGTCCCATAAATCACCTCTACATAATTTTAATTTTATGATTCAGAATTATACAAGGAAAATAAGGTTATGATATAGTTGTATATACCAAAACTGATCATCTTTGAAATTAGATTAACTGTTAAAATGACAGGGACTTCAGTATTTGTATAAGATTTTGTTTGAACAGAATTCATTGTATTCATAAAAGCTGTGCTATTATTACTGTCATTAATACCAGTACAGGTTTATTAGCTAGTATATTTATTAGTCAAGGCTCTCCAGAGAAAAGAACCAATAAGATATAAATTTACATAGGTATATAGGGCATGTCAGTAGATAGGTAGATAGATAGATGGCTGGATAGATAGATAGATAGATAGATAGATAGATAGATAGATAGATAGATAGATGCATAGATAGATGATAGATAGATAGATAGATAGATAGGTGATAGATAGATGATAAGATGATAGATAGATGATCGATAGATAGATGGGTAGATAGATGATAGATAGATAGATAGATGCATAGATAGATGATTGATAGGTAGATAGTTGATAGATAGATCAATAGATAGATGATAGTTAGATGACAGATAGAGATATATATATATAAATTGTCTCATGCACTTAGGGAGGCTGACAGGTCCTAAGACCTGAGT